TCGTATTACTCCGGCCCTTCGGGCTCGCAAATAACTCCGGCCCTTCGGACTCGCATATAACTCCGGCCCTTCGGACTCGTGTATAACTCCGGCCCTTCGGGCTCGCATATAACTCCGGCCCTTCGGGCTCGCATATAACTCCGGCCCTTCGGGCTCGCGTATAACTCTAGCCCTTCGCGCTCGTATTACTCCGGCCCTTCGGGCTCGCATATAACTCCGGCCTTTCGGGCTCGCATATAACTCCGGCCCTTCGGACTCGTGTATAACTCCGGCCCTTCGGGCTCGCATATAACTCCGGCCCTTCGGGCTCGCATATAACTCCGGCCCTTCGGGCTCGCGTATAACTCTAGCCCTTCGCGCTCGTATTACTCCGGCCCTTCGGGCTCGCATATAACTCCGGCCCTTCGGACTCGTGTATAACTCCGGCCCTTCGGGCTCGCATATAACTCCGGCCCTTCGGGCTCGCATATAACTCCGGCCCTTCGGGCTCGCGTATAACTCTAGCCCTTCGCGCTCGTATTACTCCGGCCCTTCGGGCTCGCATATAACTCCGGCCTTTCGGGCTCGCATATAACTCCGGCCCTTCGGACTCGTGTATAACTCCGGCCCTTCGGGCTCGCATATAACTCCGGCCCTTCGGGCTCGCATATAACTCCGGCCCTTCGGGCTCGCATATAACTCCGGCCCTTCGGGCTCGCATATAACTCCGGCCCTTCGGGCCGGTATTACTGAGTATCCCAGATTCACAGATTTTTGTCATGAGGGCATGGGATTGATTGAAATAATTCTGTCAGATTTTTTAAAATTACATTGGAATATCGAAAATTGGAATTCTGTTGTGTAATTATTATTTTAATTAGAATAAAAAATTGAAATTGAATTTACCCAATTTTTTGGGGGAGGTTTAGCCTCCTCTGCCTCCTCTGACGAGCGGCCACTGCTTATTGGGATTGAGTTTCAAGTTGGCATTCCGGAAGCGGTCAAAAACTTCTTTTAGGTTATTGAGATGTTCTTGGAACGAATTTCCCATAATCAAGACTTCATCCAAATATACCAGGCAAGTTCTCCATGTAAGGCCTCGCAAAACAAGATGCATCAGTCGCTCGAACGTAGCTGGAGCATTACACAATCCGAAAGGCATTACATTAAACTGGTATAGCCCGCTTCCGGTACTGAAGGCAGTTTTCTCTTTGTCATCGTCATGTATTGCCACTTGCCAGTATCCACTTTTGAGATCCAAGGTGGAAAACCATTTGGAGCCCGATAGAGTTGTTAGTGTATCGTCTATTCTGGGGAGAGGGAAGCTGTCCTTCTTGGTGACGTCATTAAGCTTTCGGTAGTCCACACAAAACCTAAGACTCCCATCTTTCTTCGTAACCAATACTACTGGCGCGGACCATGGACTATTTGACTCTTCAATGACTCCCTCTTGAAGCATTTTATTAATTTGGTTTTCCACTTCCTGTTGCTTAGCTATTGGCATACGTCGTGGTGGTTGTCTAATTGGGTGTGCCAATCCAGTATCAATTTTGTGTTGAATTAAGCTGGTTCGGCCGGTTTGATTGTCCATCACAAATACATCAGCTTCTTTCAAAATGAAATCTGTGGCTTCTTGAAGTCTATCTGGATCAAGATGCTTCCATGATTTCGCCAAGGTCTGCATCAAGGTGTCTGTATCTAATTTGGATTTCACAAAATGTCGCTTATCTGGTAGGTCACAGTTCGATATTTGCTTCACTGGTTCGAGAGCTCCAATAATGTCTCCTTCTTTTATTCTTACTGTTTCAGAAGAAACATTGGCAATTCTTATCATAATGTCTCCATTTGTTCTTACTAGAGTCTTTCCAACAAGAAATCTTTCTGGTTTATCTCCAATGAAATTACGTGTTAGCCCAACGCAGCACCCAGGGTTTGTTTCCAATCTTCCGCAAATGATCTTCTCAGTACTTCCAGGAATCCTCACTGGGGTTGTGGCCAAGATCTTAACGGCATCGGATTCTTCTTGTGTTGTTAGGACAATTTCTTCATTACCAAATTTAAGGATGTTCATGGAAGGGTCAAAAGAGAACCCATGTTGGCCGATCAAATCCATTCCGAAAATAAAATCATCTTCTATATCCGCGACTAATGTTCTGTGCCTGAAGGTGGTAGATCCAAAAGTGAGCTCAACCATAGCTTCTCCTTGAACTGGTGCAGATTCGCCGGTGACTGTTCGTAGTGACAGGTTTCTAGTGAGCGGTTGGATTGCCCGAGACTTGACTAATGTTCTTTTAATTATGGAAACTTCAGTACCCGTATCAAAAGTGATAGTTTTCAATTCTCCATTAATTTGTCCTTCGAATGTTAATCCTCTATAATGACTGCCCAATGATTTTATGTTAACAACCCTGGGGGCTTCGTCATTACTAACCAGCATTCGCCCCTCCATACTGGTTAGTTCTCGTTTCCCTGTCTGTTATTAGGGCTGGCGTCTCTTGATCTCGAAAAGCGTTGGAAACGATCCCTTGATGGAGAGGGCATTCTTACTCTACAATCTCGTTGAATGTGTCCAACCTTATGGCAGCGATAACATTCTAATCGATTTCTTTGTGTTGGTGTTTGTCTGGAGTCGTTTCCCGTTTTTCTGTCTTCTCGTAATATTTTCTTTATTTCCTCCATGAAATTACTCATAAGGTTCTCGAAACTGCCATCCTCTTTTGATGATTGTTTTTCCTTTGGGTCCTCAATGGACACTGCTCGTATTCTGGGTCATGAGGCACCAAATATTGCTTCCAGTTCTAATGCTCGGACAAGGGCTTCGCTACTTTGTCTGAACTTGGACATTCTTAGGTTTTCCTAGATCTTCGAATCTCTGAGACCATCAATAAACGCAGATACTGCCATCCATTCCTGCATGTCTTCCCCAACTGCTGGAAACGCCAAACTCACTAGCCTTTTAACTTCCGATTCGAATTCTTGTAGACTCTCGCCGGGTTTTTGACCTCTTGATTTAACTTGAGTTCTGAATACTTCTTGTCTGTAATGGTCTCCGAAGCGCAGTTTTAAAGTTTGACTAAGATGCTGGTAATTCTGCTGGTAGACTGAAGGAATGGACTGAAGAAGGTCTAAGGCAGGTCCTCGTAGCGCCACTATTAGTGCTGTAGCTTTTTCTTGGTCGTTCCATCCGTTGGTATTTGCAGCAGCTTCAAGTTGTCGGATATACATAGTCCAGGACGTAGAACCGTCGAAAGTTGGTGGTTTTATCTTCATACTGGAGAATGCTCCAACACTAACTGGATTTATGGACTGTATTTCTAATCTACGCATCTTATCCTAGAGTGCTTGAACTTGGTCCTCAACTTCTTGTCTTAATTGCTGAACATCGTCTTTAACTTCTTGAAGATCGGCTTTGACCTTAGCTTTTACTCCCTGAACGTCGTGTTTAACTTCTCTTACATCGTCTTTAACTTCTTGAACATCGATTTTGACTTCAGTTTTTACTTCCTGGACGTCGTGTTTAACTTCTTGCACATCGTCTTTAACTTTTTCAATCTTCTGGTCTAAGTTAGCGACAGTTCCTTGTATGGTTTGGAATATCTTCTGCAGTTTTGCAAGGTCTTCTTGTCGTTCTTGTTGTCGCCTAGCTTCTTCTTGTTGTCGTTTTTTAGCTTCTTCTTCTTGTTTTTCTTTTTGTCGCCTGAGTTCTTCGTCTTGTTTTTCTTGTTGTCGTTTGGCTTCTTCGTCTTGTTTTTCTTGTAGTCGTCTGGCCTCTTCGTCTTGTTTTTCTTGTTGTCGTTTGGTCTCTTGAAGTTCCAACATTTTGCGCAGGAGTTCTTCAACTTTTTGTTCGTCCATTTTGGCTTGTTGTCTTGTGATAGGCATATACAGAATGTTCTAGAATTTCCCTCGAACTTTTTTCAAATATCTTTTCTGGTCTTTGCTTGAAGTTCCAAACACGCCGGTGAAGTCACAAATTGGATAACTTGCTTTATTCTAGAATAGAATGTTCTGGAATTTTCTTGAAACTTCTTTTCTAGATGTCGATTGATACAGCAAACATGTTGGTGGAGTCACAATTTCGATATCTCCCTTAGTTTCCAAATAGAATTTTCTAGAACTCACTCGAAGATTCACTATCACAGTCTAAATCGGGGATAGAGTCACTTCCGGGGTAATTTACACGATCGGTTGAGTCTCTTTTTGTGATTGTCACTGTTTGCACTGCACTAACTGCCCCAGTGTTCAGTTTTTACACTACACTAGTGTCCCCACACTTCCGCAATTGGATTTCACTCTGCAGTCCTTTATATCCCACTTCTTGGCACCAATGTCGCAGCTTTGGGTTGCCTGCTGACAAAATTCTTGGGATCGTGGTTCGTTTCGTTTATTCCAAAAAATCAAAGTCCAATTAACACAGCAATAATTTATTCCACTTAACAAAACACTCTGACACTAATTACTTTAATAACTAACTCAACAATTAAACTTTACAACTCAATAATCACTATTTAACTCGTATCACAGTCAAACTTTAACTTACAAATCAATGCCGGCCTTCTTATATATCCCTAAATCTATTCCTGTAAAATCTAGAATACACACGATAATCTTATTTTCCCGAATCAAGTAGAATAATTCACTAGATTCTAGTATACTCAAGAGATAATACCGAGAGATTCTTGACAGCCTGGCGGACGTTTAGCTTATTGTGACAATAATATTACAGATTTCCTCAAATATATTCTACACACCGCCTCAATGGAATGTTTTGTTACACTAACCTCACAACAGCTGACTGGATGACATCTAAAAATTATAAACAATAACAATACATTTCATTGATACTTCTAGTGATCAGTTATTACACAGGTTTGTTCACAGAATCGTGACGTCAAAAAAGGTGGCCATCATGGAAGCATTGTTTTGGCGGGAAATTTTTTATTTCAAATTTAGTATTACTTTTTGTACAACAAGGACAGTATCAGTTGAATGAAAACTGTTCATATTATAAATATTGTGCAGTATAAACTATCGAATTAAAAAAAAAAAATGGAAAATTTTAGTTCACTTGCAAGTTCTTTGTTTTTATTATATTATATAAAATAATATAATTAATAATAATAACATTCAACAAAATTCAAACAAATTATTCAAAACTCCAATGCGGACTTCGTCCAGGTCTTTTAAAAAGCCTTCGAACAGTGGTGCCAAGTCTTCAGTTGCAATTTCAGGTCCTAGAATAAGGGCGATTTCGTGTAGACTACTCGCTACGGTTCTTCGGATTTTATAGGACATGTGGCCTGCTAAATGTGTCAACAGTATTTTTGAGTAAAGGCCAATTGTCTTTGCCCAAAGTCAATACTACTGCGGGTAAAGAGTAGGCGCAATGATACGACATTCCGTCGTAGATGTTTTCCCATGTTGCCATTGAGACGAAATTGTCGATTAATTCTTGAGGAACTATTTTCTGAGGGGGTTCTTTGACTTCTTCTATTGTTGGCGTGGAGGTTTCTTCTACATTATCATCTACATTGTTACCTGGAACAAAAAAATTTTTGGTTAAAAAAGGGTTGATTTGGCAACGTTGAAATTAGTTGGTTGATGGTAGAAAATCATAGTCTGCCTTATACAAAAGTGTCTTCATAGGAGTCGTTTTGTATATATTATAATCATTTTTGAACTCAATAAGAATTATGGAAGGAAAAGTTATGAAATTTTCAGGAAAGAAAGAGGAGAGTTAGGAGGTCATCATACTGAAATTTCAATTTTTTTCAGTGAAAAATAACGACATGGTAAATCAATGAAAATTAACCAAATTAGGCATAAATGCATCATCTTACATTTAATTTTTTTCCCGGAAAACTGTTCAAGGGAAAATTATGAAATTTTCAGGAAAGAAAGAGAATAGTTAGGAGCTCATTATACTGAAATTTCAAACTTTTCCAATGAAATTAATGAAAATTCACTTACTTTTATTATCTAAATTATCACCCTTAGTATCACCAGAAGCAGCAGCAGGCGAAACCTCTGCCTCTTCAGTTTTCTTCTTTTCTTCTGCAGCAACATTGACGGAATCGTCCAGGCTTATAGTGGCGTAAAGTTGTTCTAAATGATTGGTCTACAACAATAAGAAAAACACATATTATAAACCCAGAAAATTGACACAACATTGGAGAAAAACTTATAGACTGTGAGATAGGGCCTGTTTAGTGGAGTCATTTTTTTTTGTCTGGCATTTTGAGGGATGAATGTGGCTAGTTAGCTGATGAGAATATAGGTGGTTTTAGTGCACAATAAAATTTTTAATTTTTCTCACCCTGTACAGAGGTGTCAAGTTACAAAGTACCACCCCCTGTAACTTTTTCATTTTTGTATTAAAAAGTTACAGGGAGTGGTACTTCATGACTTGGTACCAAATACAGAAATTGAAACTTGAATGCTATTCAAAAACCCTTTTCACGTGGCTCTGGTTTAACAAACCGCTCAAATTCGAGTGGTAGGTATTTATCACGTCATTTTGTAACAGGGTTAGAAAACGGTATGTCATTTCTGTAACCCGGTTAGTTAAACCGGAGCCACGTGAAAAGAACTAAAATGTTCAACCAACAAGTAATCCTTGCCAACCACGGCACAATAATGCCCAATATGCGAAGCGGACAATTTCCTAACGTAAAACAAATGGCTGGAACACAACTCTTGAAATCGCCTCATCAAAATCCGCTCGGTAATGTCTTTGCCGAACAGGTGGGCTAATTTGCTCATTAGCTGAAAAGTAAAACAAACAAACTCATTATATAAGACATTTTTAGGCTTGAAAAAAATCACATTGCAGGCCCACATTATGTCGAATTCAATGAATGCTCACGCTCATCAAAGCTGGCTGTGATATGAATATTGAAAACTAACATTTCACGTCCAGTTGATGAGCACGAGAATGCACTTTTTTTGCGTTCCAAAAACTCGTTGTCCATTGATGTCGTATCGCTCATCAAAGCTGGCTGAGATATGAATATTGAAAACTAACATTTCACAACCATTTGATGAACGGCACAAGTATCCATTATTGGCTGTAGATTGATGAGTACAGGCTGAGCACAAAACTCGTCAAAATGGATGTGATACCTGTACGAATAGGAACGGTACACAACCAAATTGACGGGTTGCGTAGTCAACAAACGTTTCTTCTTTGGGTAGAGCATTTTTCTGTAATCTGTAATTGGAAAGATTCATTTTAGGCTGAAATTAAAAGTGAAATCACATTAGGTTATGGGCCAAGGGAAATTTAGTGTAAAAGTTAAAATATTAAAACCTTAAAATAAATAAACAGAAGCTTTTTCCATGTAGGTATGTTCCTTATAGATTTATTAAAGTAGGTACCTATAGGGCAAATGAGATTATTTGATTAAAAAAACATACAGAAAAGTTACATTTAAGAATTTTCCTGCATTCAGAGGATTTCGATAATCTATTCGGAATTCGGAATTTCAGAAGGATTTTGATTAGAATTTCGTAATTTCAGAAGGGCTTCAGTTGGAATTCTGGGATTTAAGAGGGATTTCATAAGAATTTCAGATAAAATTTTGCTATTCGCAATTTCAAATGGATTTTGGGATTTCCAAAGGATTTCGAAATATTTCAGATATTCGACTTCAATACTACGTTTAAAGATATCGATAATCTATTGAAATTTTAGTTAGAATTTCAGGATTTCAGAAGGGTTTCGGTTGAAATCTCAGCATTTCAAAGAGATTTCGGTTTTAATTCCAGATTTCAGTTAGGATTTCAATTGGGATTTCATAAGAATTTCGGATAGAATGTCGTTGTTCGCGATTTTGAATGGATTTTTAAATTTCCAAAGGATTTCGAAACATTTCAAATATTCAACTTCAATAAGAATTTTGAGAATTCCGATAAATCTATTGGGATTTCGGGATTTCAGAAGTATTTCGGTTGGAATTTCGAAATTTCAGAAGGGTTTCAGTTGGAATTTTATAAGAATTTTGGGATAGGATTTCGCTCTTCGCAATTTCGAATAAATTTTGGGATTTTTAAAAAATTTCTTCTATTAAGTCAAGTATAACATGCCTCCACATACTGGCCATTTACTCAAAAACTACTCGAAGCACAAATATGAGATTTTGAGGGAATATTTTCAAGGCTTAGAGGCAAAACATACTAAAAACTCAAAGCAATTGACTGAAAAATTGCAAAGTTACAAGACCTTTAAAAATGGACATTTTCTTCTATAGGGCAGATATGACATGCCTCCACATTTTGACCATTTACTCAAAAAATATTTGAGCCACAAATATAAGATTTTGAGGACATATTTTTGAGGCTTAGAGGCAAAACATACTGAAAACTCAAAGCAATTGATTGAAAAATTGCAAAGTTACAAGATCTTAAAAAATGGACATTTTCTTCTATAGGGCTGATATGACATGCCTCCACATTTTGACCATTTACTCAAAAACTACTTGAGCCACAAATATAAGATTTTGAGGACATATTTTTGAGGCTTAGAGGCAAAACATACTGAAAACTCAAAGCAATTGATTGAAAAATTGCAAAGTTACAAGATCTTAAAAAATGGACATTTTCTTCTATAGGGCTGATATGACATGCCTCCACATTTTGACCATTTACTCAAAAACTACTTGAACCACAAATATGAGATTTTGAGGACATATTTTTGAGGCTTAGAGGCAAAACATACTGAAAACTCAAAGCAATTGATTGAAAAATTGCAAAGTTACAAGATCTTAAAAAATGGACATTTTCTTCTATAGGGCTGATATGACATGCCTCCACATTTTGACCATTTACTCAAAAACTACTTGAGCCACAAATATAAGATTTTGAGGACATATTTTTGAGGCTTAGAGGCAAAACATACTGAAAACTCAAAGTAATTGACTTAAAAATTGCAAAGTTACAAGACCTTTAAAAATGGACATTTTCTTCTATAAGACATGTCTGGACATTGTGACCATTTACTCAAAAACTACTCAAGTCACAAATATGAAATTTTGAGGAAATATTTTTGAGGCTTAGAGGCAAAACATACTGAAAACTCAAAGCAATTGATTGAAAAATTGCAAAGTTACAAGATCTTAAAAAATGGACATTTTCTTCTATAGGGCTGATATGACATACCTCCACATTTTGACCATTTAATCAAAAACTACTTGAACCACAAATATGAGATTTTGAGGACATATTTTTGAGGCTTAGAGGCAAAACATACTGAAAACTCAAAGCAATTGATTGAAAAATTGCAAAGTTACAAGATCTTAAAAAATGGACATTTTCTTCTATAGGGCTGATATGACATACCTCCACAATTTGACCATTTACTCAAAAACTACTTGAACCACAAATATGAGATTTTGAGGACATATTTTTGAGGCTTAGAGGCAAAACATACTGAAAACTCAAAGCAATTGATTGAAAAATTGCAAAGTTACAAGATCTTAAAAAATGGACATTTTCTTCTATAGGGCTGATATGACATGCCTCCACATTTTGACCATTTACTCAAAAACTACTTGAGCCACAAATATAAGATTTTGAGGACATATTTTTGAGGCTTAGAGGCAAAACATACTGAAAACTCAAAGTAATTGACTTAAAAATTGCAAAGTTACAAGACCTTTAAAAATGGACATTTTCTTCTATAAGACATGTCTGGACATTGTGACCATTTACTCAAAAACTACTCAAGTCACAAATATGAAATTTTGAGGAAATATTTTTGAGGCTTAGAGGCAAAACATACTGAAAACTCAAAGCAATTGATTGAAAAATTGCAAAGTTACAAGATCTTAAAAAATGGACATTTTCTTCTATAGGGCTGATATGACATGCCTCCACATTTTGACCATTTACTCAAAAACTACTTGAGCCACAAATATAAGATTTTGAGGACATATTTTTGAGGCTTAGAGGCAAAACATACTGAAAACTCAAAGCAATTGATTGAAAAATTGCAAAGTTACAAGATCTTAAAAAATGGACATTTTCTTCTATAGGGCTGATATGACATGCCTCCACATTTTGACCATTTACTCAAAAACTACTTGAGCCACAAATATAAGATTTTGAGGACATATTTTTGAGGCTTAGAGGCAAAACATACTGAAAACTCAAAGTAATTGACTTAAAAATTGCAAAGTTACAAGACCTTTAAAAATGGACATTTTCTTCTATAAGACATGTCTGGACATTGTGACCATTTACTCAAAAACTACTCAAGTCACAAATATGAAATTTTGAGGAAATATTTTTGAGGCTTAGAGGCAAAACATACTGAAAACTCAAAGCAATTGATTGAAAAATTGCAAAGTTACAAGATCTTAAAAAATGGACATTTTCTTCTATAGGGCTGATATGACATGCCTCCACATTTTGACCATTTACTCAAAAACTACTTGAACCACAAATATGAGATTTTGAGGACATATTTTTGAGGCTTAGAGGCAAAACATACTGAAAACTCAAAGCAATTGATTGAAAAATTGCAAAGTTACAAGATCTTAAAAAATGGACATTTTCTTCTATAGGGCTGATATGACATGCCTCCACATTTTGACCATTTACTCAAAAAATACTTGAGCCACAAATATAAGATTTTGAGGACATATTTTTGAGGCTTAGAGGCAAAACATACTGAAAACTCAAAGCAATTGATTGAAAAATTGCAAAGTTACAAGATCTTAAAAAATGGACATTTTCTTCTATAGGGCTGATATGACATGCCTCCACATTTTGACCATTTACTCAAAAAATACTTGAGCCACAAATATAAGATTTTGAGGACATATTTTTGAGGCTTAGAGGCAAAACATACTGAAAACTCAAAGCAATTGATTGAAAAATTGCAAAGTTACAAGATCTTAAAAAATGGACATTTTCTTCTATAGGGCTGATATGACATGCCTCCACATTTTGACCATTTACTCAAAAACTACTTGAGCCACAAATATAAGATTTTGAGGACATATTTTTGAGGCTTAGAGGCAAAACATACTGAAAACTCAAAGCAATTGATTGAAAAATTGCAAAGTTACAAGATCTTAAAAAATGGACATTTTCTTCTATAGGGCTGATATGACATGCCTCCACATTTTGACCATTTACTCAAAAACTACTTGAGCCACAAATATAAGATTTTGAGGACATATTTTTGAGGCTTAGAGGCAAAACATACTGAAAACTGAAAGCAATTGACTGAAAAATTGCAAAGTTACAAGATCTTAAAAAATGGACATTTTCTTCTATAGGGCTGATATGACATGCCTCCACATTTTGACCATTTACTCAAAAACTACTTGAACCACAAATATGAGATTTTGAGGACATATTTATGAGGCTTAGAGGCAAAACATACTGAAAACTCAAAGCAATTGACTGAAAAATTGCAAAGTTACAAGATCTTAAAAAATGGACATTTTCTTCTATAGGGCTGATATGACATACCTCCACATTTTGACCATTTACTCAAAAACTACTTGAGCCACAAATATGAAATTTTGAGGACATATTTTTGAGGCTTAGAGGCAAAACATACTGAAAACTCAAAGCAATTGACTGAAAAATTGCAAATTTACAAGATCTTTAGAAATGGACATTTTCTTCTATAGGGCTGATATGACATGCCTCCACATTTTGACCATTTACTCAAAAACTACTTGAGCCACAAATATGAAATTTTGAGGACATATTTTTGAGGCTTGGAAACAAAACATACTGAAAACTCAAAGCAATTGACTGAAAAATTGCAAATTTACAAGATCTTTAGAAATGGACATTTTCTTCTATCAGACATGTCTGCACATTGTGAACATTTACTCAAAAACTAATGAAGCCACAAATATGAAATTTTGAGGAAATATTTTTGAGGCTTAGAGGCAAAACATACTGAAAACTCAAAGCAATTGACTGAGAAATTGCAAAGTTACAAGACCTTTAAAAATGGACATTTTCTTCTACATTTTGACCATTTACTCAAAAACTACTCGAGGCACGAATATGAGATTTTGAGGGAATATTTTTGAGGCTTAGAGACAAAACATACTAGAAATTTAAATTAATCGAACAAAAAATTGCAAAGTTACAAGATTTTTGAAAATAGACATTTTCTTCTAATATGACATGCCTTTACATATTAACCATTTACTCAAAAACTACTTGAAACGCAAATATGAAATTTTGAGTGAATATTTTTGAGGCTTAGAGGCACAACATAGTAAAAATTCAAATCATTTGGACAAAAAATCAAGAGCCTGGAATAGGAGAAATAATGAAAATTCCAGAATTTAAATTGAAAAATAAGGTATAGTATTTTCATAACCAACTGAAAAAACGTAAAAATAAAATACAATATGCTATTTTTTATTGCAAACAGCCAAAATTCAACTTTAAACTAACTCAAATCAAGCCAATAAGGAATTAAAAATGTGGAAAAATTCAAATTATTTTCAGCGTATGATCTGTCGGTGTCTGTTAGCAACTGTCCATCATACCGTGAGTTCGTCTTGAAACACTGAGCGCTTGGAGCATTTTTCGTCTTTTTTTTATAATGAGAAGAACAGGGATAAAAGAACAAAGCAGCAACTCTGAGTGTTTACTCGAACTCTACATAATAAATACCCGATATAACATTTTTCACTAAGTTGTTATTGAGTTTCAGGGGAATACTCTCTCAAGGCATAAATAAATGATTTAAAAAAATTGCAAAGTTCCCTATTGACGTAGTAACAAAATACATATAAAAATACCTAAAACAATTATTATTACATATTGTTAACAATAAAACACAAAAAAAACTATAACTAAAATCCATCCACCAGCGTCCATGGTCCATTGGGGCGATCGTGTTTGACACCTAACTCATCAAAGTGGCTATGATATCAAGTATAAAATCAAGAGTTCACAGCCAAGTTGATGATATCAGGTAACAAACATCACGCTGTCTCTCGAGCTTCCGAAATCCAACATTGCTCATCAAACCTGGCTGTTACAGAATTCACAATTATCTAAAACGTCCAACTTTGAAGAGCAATGGCAAATTTATTTAGTATTTCCTCCTGGGTGTTGATGTTGAAGTTTTTGCTAGCCGCTACATGAAAGACAAGGGTAGTGAGACAAAATTTAAATAAAACATCTCACTACACATATCTTTCATAAAGCAATAGCATTTGATTGGTTATAATAGCATTATCAATAAATGAAAAAATACAATAGCAATTAATTCTTACCATAATAGCACCAGTGTTGACATCTAGTTGATGCTGACTTTCCGTTTTCGTAAGGGCCAAAATCGAGGGGCATATTTTAATTTCGGCCTGGGTTTGTGTGACATAGTCTCGCTGTATGAGATGCACCAGGGTAGTCTGAGCTGTTTTGTCCACTCCGGCGTCTGAGCATCCTATATTTCTAAGTACCAATGGAATCAGATATTCTCCAATGACGTCTTCTAGAGCGGGAACTCTTTCTGAGTTTTCTAGGGCTTGTGCGGCAATGTTTGGTATGTCTTCTAGTAAATCGGTCTTGAGCAGGGCTTCTGTGGAATAAAATAAATTGTTATGATTTTTTGAGGTTATGTTCTGTTAATGTAAATGTGGGTTGTTGGGGCATGGTCAGTAATAAGAAAGAGTGTACCGTTTGCTTGATTTTAAAGGAGTGATGAGAATTTTTTAATTACAAAATAAAAGGAGCGATTAAAAAAAAAAGCGGCAAACCTGACGTCGCATTAAAAAGCACGCGGTAGCTCCACCATTTTGTATCATCGTCGAATCCGGCCCGAGAGGGGGGGTTACTCCTTTAATATAGAGCCAAATAGAGCTACACGTGCACTACAAAAACGAAACAAAACACGTAACCGAAGCCCGACTTTAACGTTGACTTTTTCTATGGAAAATTTACGGCGAATTTTGTTTTTTTTTTCAAAAAAAAAAGGAAGCGCAAGCGTTGTCGCGGAGGCTGCCATGTTGCTTTTCTGACGCGGTTCGGCGGGTTTGGCGCACGGTGGCGCTGCGATCGCGCGTATGTGTGGTGGTGGTGGCGCCGGCCGGCGACAACTGCGACGTTGTCACGTTTAGTTTTTATCCGAATTTAACCAGGAAAGAAAATCAAAATTTAATATACTGCACTGGGCCAGTTTGAAATTACCGTTTTTAACAATAAAAACCGTAAAATTCAAATTATTAGTCCGAAATCTGTCATACGTCATAATTTTCCATGGCCATGTTAGGAATAGGCGCTTTGTTTTTGGTTTTTTTTTTTCATCGTCGCGTCATTTTGCATGTAATAAACAAAGACAGACATAGGTATTGAAAAAAAGATTTCATTAATTGAAAAATGTTCAATGTTGTTCACGGTCAAGGTTGTCTAGTAAAGGGTAACTTGATGACGTCATCTAGAGTGCCTTATGGAGATTTGCATTAGTTGTATTCCTTTCAAGGATTAAAAACACTAGAGCTACTCGCTACGGTGTTAGTCGCTTCCGATTTCAAAGGAACATATGCGTAGTACAACCAATGAAAAACATTTTACGAAAGAAATAAGCGCGTAATGCCCCGGAGCTGTTCTAGAGCTCCACAAAGGTGTGAAAGGCATACAACACAACTTTTATGTTGAGGCCAATGAACTATTTGAGGCGCCCCAGATGACGTCATAAGAGTTATCAGGCAACCTACTTGATAGAATAATTAGTGCAAAAAACATTTCCGTCATTTTCTTTCACATGCTAGTAAAATAAGACACGAATACACTCAGTGCGCACAAAACCAATAGAATAGATTTTACTATATTTATTATTAAATTGACTGTATTTTCATCTCTCTCTCTCTCTCTCTTGGTTTGGTAAAGGAATAAATAGTTAATTCATATTTTTGCACTAATTTTACAGTGACCGTGTTCGTTTTTGTCATTTTTTTCGTTGATTTGCTCCGAAATTTTGACAGACATGTGACTTGATCAAACAGTTTCAATTCACAAATCACGTGCCTGTCAAAATTCCGGAGCAGATCGACGAAAAATTGACAAAAACGAACACGGCTAATGTTACTGCGAACCAAGGTTGTTTCATACAGTAAAATCCATTGATAAATTCAGTGCGCACTGACTATATTCATGTCCTATTTCACTAGCATGTGAAAAAAAGTGACGGAAATACATGTTTTTTGCACTAAATCTACCAATCAGTGGCGGCTCGTGACTATTTCAAGTGAGGAGGCTAAAAAATCACGAATTACGTAGCCCAGGAATGTTAGGCAAAATTTCGCCTAAACTTAAAAAAAAATCCCAGAGTTTTTCTGAGACCTGTTTTGGGTTCCTGTGATAGTGCTCTACAACGCATAAAAAGTCCCCAAAAATCCCCTCATTGGCATTTTTTTTGGAAGCCTTTTAAATATATACAACTTTTACACCAAAAGTTGAGAAGTAGCGATAGTTTCATGTTCACTGTGAGAGGTCGGGGCAATGTTCATATGCATTTGTTCGGTTGGAATCATAGGCGCCGGAACCATGGGGGCAATGGGGGCTTGAGCCCCCATAGTGAATTTGGTATTGTATGTAGTAAGTGTAATGGGTAGGCACAGAAATATTGAGTCCCAGCCTAACTATTAATTTTTATATCAAACTTGTGCGTGTAATGTTTTTGTTGTTTTTGCTATACCTATTTCAACAAACATTTTGAATATTTTGTTGTGTGGTATTCGAACCTCTATTTTCAATAAGTCTGTTCAAGTATGTTCACATCACATGAATATATCATGATGTACCAATACACTGGCTTTTTTTACTTAGTTTATCATGGACTCATGAACAATTTATATACAGACCGGAAAACCTACTAGTTACATAGGGAGTAATAAGACGAATTAGCTTGTACCCGGTTAAGGCGAATCGAACCGGTGCTGCCCCAGGGCCGTAGCCAGGGGGGGGCATTGGGGGGCAATGCCCTATCTTTTAAATGATGATGCCCTACCTTTAAAAATCAACATGCATTTAGGTTTCTTTAGAAAATTTAAGAGTAGATAATGCCTGAAGTAGATAGGCCTGAAATCGAGTAAAACCAGGAACACATCTATCATGCATTCTTCCGATCCGGCTCCGATCATACAATCAAGGTCCTTATTCTTGGAACAGGGAAGCAGCGGAACACTCGTTCTCCTTAGGAACGCTGTTCCCTATTCCAAGAATAAGGACCCTGATTGTATGATCGGAGTCGGTCTGGAAGAATGCATGATAGATGTGTCCCGGGCTTAAGCGAGGATGAATGTTTCCGAAAATGCCCAAATCTAATGAACAATGTTTGACGTTTGCACAAAGGAAGTTTTTTGTTTTCAAAGAGTGCGAATGACCCAAGGCGGCCGGCGCGAGAATCCGCGCCATTTCGTTCACTTGCCAGAGATGTTATTAATTGCAAGGTTGTTTGATAGAGGCGAGAGAGGTAGGATGCCTGGTAAATTTATGATGTCATCTGGGGTGCCTCAACATAATGCAAATCTCTAGAAGGTATCCTAGATCAGATGTGTCATCAAATTACCCCTTTGATTTATTGAAAAATTTGCCTTCGGCGCCATTAGCCTCATTTTGTTTACCTATAAGCCTCCCGGCACCGGTATTCATATGAATCCCGGTTATGACGCTTTTTTAATGGAGACAACAACCACCGGTAACTGTCGTGGATCCCGGCTATTGCAATACAAGATGTTACTAATTAATAATTATTATGTTCATTGGTATTGCTAAATTTTGGTAATGGGGCAGAATTATTATGTAGGGTGAAAAAAGTAAACGAAGTCGGGCGCGATAAGCTTTTATTTATGGGAAATAAAATTATGACTTTTATTATATATGTATCATCACACAGGGTGCCCCAAAATTTGAGGTTAATATTTTAACTGCGGATTCTACATCTAAAATCAAGAACAAAAGTTCCCATAAACATACCCTATTTCAGAAATACGCAGGGTGCGAAAAAAGCTATAGTCCCCGAATAATGAATGAAAATAAACCATACATACCCTTTTCAAACCACTACGACGACAAATGGATTAACGAAGTACTATTACCACTCTAATACCAATATCACAACAAGAATAGTATATTCTTCAACGAGCACATAATGATGGCTATTATTCACGAGAATAAAAATTCAAACACGAGCCGAATGCGAGTGTTGGAATCATTCGAGTGAATAATAGCCATTATTTGCGAGTAGAAGACTATACTTTCTCTTCAAACTTTTTGAAAGAAAATCATTAGTTTTTGTAAAAAAAAAACAATCATCAAAAGTCTAAACCCGCCTTAATTGAAAGTTTAGTGATCTGACAGCAGACGTCAGTCGTGTTTTGTTTGTATTGTCTCGTTGCGGCCCGTGTATTCCGAAAATATGGAGAATTTGATTGGTCGACAGGCCGTGGATTCCGGTTTGGAATCCACGGGGCGTGTAGAATTCGTATCATTAATCAATTTAATTTCGAGCAAGAATGAATGTATTATTTAATGTTCGAAGAGAAACAATATTACACAAAAGCTGTTTCCAAATTATTTACAGCCTGAAGCAGCAAGAGAAACACTACTTTGAATTTTGAATCCAATAGCCAGTATCCACGATAAATCCCGGCGGTCGTTGATCACGTCATTGAAAACGCGTCGTAACCGGGATTCGTATGGATACCGGTTAAGCTGTGTACCGGTGCCGGGAGGCTAGACACAGCGATAAATAAATTAAGGGGGGGGGCAAGTAGTGTATGCCCTATGTCAAATTTGTCATGCCCTACCTTAAATTTGACTCTAGCTACGGCCCAGTGCTGCCCACTGGCGACTGGCGTGGCCAGGGGAAGGGGACAAAGTGGCATTTGCTCCCTTCCCCCAAAGGCCTTTAAATTTTATTAATGATTCCAAATTGAAATAAACAAAGAATCTATTCAAGTCCTACGTGAATATTCCAATACATACATTATAATATAAGTAACGTTCTACTATAAATTCTCATCAATATTTGTTTAAATGGCCGCATCCCCGCCATTAGAAGTCCCAAAAATACCGTGAAAGGACCCAAAAATTTCTTGCCTGCGGCGCTTTCCCTTCTGCAGCGCTTGCGGCGCAGCTGCAAGGATCACTTCCTGCGAATTTACCCTCGCCTCAAGGCAAAATCCTGGCTACGCCAATGGTGCTGCTCTAAAGCCGAGTATAGCCGATTTGCCGAAGATGCACGAATTTTAATCATATGCGTGTGTATAGCGATCCTGCAGTGAAATGGGTATCTGCTAACTGTTTCCATTTAAGTCTATGTGTCTAGTAGCCTAGTCCTGTTTGTCTAATTGATTCTACTTATATATTAATTTTTGGAGCCCGAGCCCCCATATTAATTTCGAAATTCCGGCGCCTATGGTTGGAATGCATGACCACTGTACCAACACACAAGAAAAACATCACGGTAAGTCGTATTTCCCGATTAAAAGGGTGTAACTCGCGGCAAATAGCGCTCAAATCCGTAGAAGTCCTGTTTCTTTCGCGTTTCTTCGTTCCGAACTTTATTTTAAGCTCTGGTGGCATTGAAGAAGTGTTCGGGAGTGACTGGAACAGTACTGGCGGTAAACTGTATCTCAAAGTTCCGGAAATAAGCCGCGTATCTGAACTCGAAACAGAGATATGCCAGAAAATGTGGCCGCTGGCGCTGGTCTGCTAGCGTGATGGGCACGTGTGCTACAAGTACGTCTGTGTGTGAGGGTGTGTGTCTGTGTGTGTGTTTGAGTGTGTGTGTGTGAGGGTGTGTCTATATGTGTAAGTGCGTGTGTGTGTGTGTGTGTGTAAGTGCGTGTGTGCTTTTTTTCTTGGGAACGGAGAAAACAAGGAAATCCTTATTGCAATGTTGAGGCCAGTTGTTGGAGGGTGCTGAACTGACGGTGCTGCAAGCCAGTGGAGACGCAGATCAGCTGATTGTAGCAACTGCGCTTCAGTTGTCAGTCACAGAAAAATCAGTTGTCGTGTCTGCAACAGACACCGATATCTTCGCCATGCTCATCCAGAGATATTCTTCAGAAAACGATGTCTATATGCTGATGCCTGGAGTAAGTGGCAGGTCTGATAAAGT